ATCGACAGAGGATCCTTTTCATCAAGTATAGGTCTACTTGTGTCCCAAGGTTGAGGGATTTTGAACCCAGTCTTTGGAGCCATAGTTGTCGCGACTGAAGTCACAGGGGAAGTAGGGATGTTGTTAGAATTCGTGTTTGTAGCGGTGACGCTACTTGACAATTCTGAGAGGGTTTGTGAGCTAGTCTGAGATCGACTGATTGTCGTCGAACTCGAAGTAGCTGTGTCTAAAGCTGGAAGCTTCGACGTCAAATTCACTCTCTGTTTTCCTTTTGCCTTGGAAGGCAAGGGTGGTAGATACAAAGGTGTTTTATGTCTAGCAGACCTTCGTGGTTTTTCGAAAGGTCCTGAGGTTGAAGCGTTTCCTTCAGTCTCAATCTCCGCTTGGTCCTCGAGAGGTCGCGCAGGAGCTTGGGATCGAAATAAACTGCTTCGCGGGATAAACCCTTGGTCTCTATCCGACGTCGCGGTAAAGAACCCGGTTTATTGATTTTTAAAGTTTATGAAACTTTAGAAGCCCCTCGCGGTGGGCTCCAGATGAAATGCTGAGGGCGTGCTCACAAGTGAATCTACTATGAAAGTAAACCCAAATATAAAACACGTTCACACTCCTCGTAATCAGCTTCTCAGTGTGTGAAAGATGCGAGGGCTTCGGGGTGGACAGAGCACCAGTATCACAACTCTCAATAGACGCAGATCCAATAGTCGCGGAGACGAAGTCGACGACAAGAATTTATATATAGCAAACAATGGTGTCTCAACCAATATCTTCTATACGAGCACAACCAACACTAATCCAATCCACAAACAACAATATAACAAGTCAGAGCTTAATACGAAGTATTAAGATCCCTTGTAGCGACAGCGTCCAGATGGCGACGCAAAGCTCAAATATCAAGTCGACGCACTGCCAACTGACAAAACCAAAAGTACTGAGTCGACGCACTGCCAACTAGTAAACCAAAATGCCGCGTCGACGCACTGCCAACTAACAGCCAATATCCAATGTCCAAAACCCGAGCACAACTTGTCGACGCACTGCCAAGCAAGAAGTGTGGAACCAAAGTTCTCAAGTCGACGCACTGCCAACTGACCAAAACAACCCGAGCACAACTAGTCGACGCACTGCCAAGCTAGAGGTGTGGAACGATCTCAACAAAGCCCAAAGGCGACAACACTAAATGCCGCGACAATACCAGATGCGGCGAATCCGACTTTCTGATACCTCAACTCAAACTCAAATCACAGTAGCTACAAGTGCTCAGGGAGCAACTCGTCGCGACCGGGCAGGGATGGCAGAACTTCTTAGGGTGGAATCACGCGGCACGCAAATTGTACAAAACAATCTGAAATGATAGTGATTCACAGTCCGGGGGAAAGCTCCCCAATACAAAGAAACGACGTGCTACTTATACTGTCTACGACGCTGCTTAGTAAAGTCCTGTACAACTGCATAGTAGCTACGCTATCTAAGATCGGTTGCCTTTTAGGGTAATTGAAAAGTTGAACGATCGGACAGGTCCTGAGTGATCAGGACCCCGCCCCATTGTCCATATGATACTTTTGATGTGGGTCAACCCACCGCGTCATACTTTTGGAATACGACGTGTTGGATTGGCCAACGGGTATGTCTTGGCAAGTGAGACCAACGTGGGCGCCCCAAGAAGCCGTATGGCCCTAGGCACACCAGTCGTCCCCCACATGGTCCGGTTCACGGATCTAGCCGTGTCGGTTTCTAGTGTGTTTGGGTATGGACGCGACTCGCCGTGACACTTGGAAGTGTCACCGCGACGCGTCCACAATGTCCCGTGATCGAATGGATCCTGACATGTGACAAGTCGTCGTCGTGGCATGATCTGAGGAAACGTCCAACTCAAAACCGGGAGTTGCCGCGACAAGATGGTTTAAGTCTCGTAACGCCAAGTCCTGTCCAGTAGTAGTTCTATTATTGAGAACGTCGCGCATTGCTCAGCCCTTCAGCCCAAGTTCCCATCTGCAGAGAATGACCCTTTTCGAGAAGTCGACGCAACGACAGATCCCTTTTTGGGGAATGGTCGCGGTCCAAGCGTTCGTCACTAATGGCCCTGAGCCTGGTGTAGACCCATAAGACCAGTTCCACAGTAGTGGTCTGACTGCCTTGCTATCGTCGACACTATCCACAGTCGTCGACTGGGCAGTAGACCCTTAAGTCCTACTGAGCGCAACACTGTCAACCGCGACACGATACACCGAATGGTTCAAGAGTAAACTCTGTAAAAAGCGCAAAAATACGCCCTTACAGAGCTGGTGCAGAGCGCGTCTGGTAGCCAGCCTATCAACGATGTCAACCACCCTGCACTCAAGTTGATTCGTTCGTTCTCCGGAATCTTAGCCAAATCCGCAAAACGACGCCACTGCTCGCGGATGATCTCGCCGCTGAGATGGACACGATCTTGCATGGCCTTCGAGACCCACAGCTCCAGCATGTCATCCACCTCCGGATGATCGACCTGCTTGACACGTTTTGCGTGGCCCATGCGTCCCTGCGTTTGTTCCTCGGCCCAACGACTCCTCCACATCTCCTCGTTCTTAAGCCACTCGGAGATCAAGGGCTGTTTGAGGCGGAGGTTTGGATAGAGGGCGTCGAAGTGCTGTGCTGTCCGGGTCTGGCTCTTCGGATGCTGGTTGTGGTGCCAGTCAAGAATCTCGATGCGCTGTTTCAGAGTGGCGTTCTCCTTTTTTGTAAAGGCTGGCGGTGCCTTGGTCGTCGTCTTGGCCTTGACAGGCTTCTCAGTCTCACGTTCTCTATCTGGGGACTCATCAGCCAGTGACGTACAACATCAGATCTGACACGCACGCTTTCGTTTCCCGCTTGGCTTGACTGCCTTGACAGCCTGATCACCGCCCAATCCCTTCAACTTCTCCACAAGGGCTTGTTCGCTTGAACTGAGTTGCTCCAGCTCTTTGGTGAAGTCGGGTGCTTTCTCTAGTCTCCCCATCAATGCTGCCTCTTCAACCTCGTTGGCTTCATTATCAAGCCACGCCTCATCCTCCGCAGAGATCCTCTTGTCAGCAAGTCGAGCCAACAACAGGTTCTTCCGAGTCTTGACTTGTGCCTTGAGCTTACTGAAGCCCTTCTGTAGGACTGCGAGCCGAGGATCAACGGACATTCTGCGCGTGGAAACTGAGAAGATGACGGAATGGGATCGACAATCAGAAGGAGGATTGACACACGCGAGCGTGAATCAACATTCACGTGTATTTGTATCGCACGGGGAGAGGAACAATGGGTGGACAATAAGCAGAGAACAATCGGGAGTCTCAACTGGTCTAAAATATCACAAGATATGTACATACTGTCAAAATGATGATAGATTATGGGTTATGGCCTCGCAAATGCCCATGGGATATGGGGTTTCACAATTTTATGGGTTTTAATTGAAAACATTCATGGTTTCGTCTCAAAACCATGGGGTATTACAGATTATGGGTTACTGGGGGCATGGGTTATGACAGAGTCGACTGTAGCCCGAGTCCGACTGAGGGAGCCTTTATATTGGGAGCGGAGAGCTCTAACGCCATACCCTGGTTCTAGAATTGTCTTTTCAACGGCTCGAGAGCGCTCGAAAGAAGTACGAGGACTTGAGGGGACCGAATTTACTGCACGGGCTTCCATTTCTCGATTGTACACGAGCTTCCCAGTGTGATTATTCGCATCTTGGCCGTGTCCACCAATCGACATCCTAGCGCCGCTCCCATCTGGATCGGGGTTGTGAATTCCGACTTTGGAAAGCTCTTTGTATGCATCGGAGGGAGTTGCTGTGCCTTCGTTTAGCGGTAGAGGAAGAACATCATCGAAAAGGCCAGATTCGGATTGTTTTGCATAAAAAGTGTCTACTAGAATGAGATGACGGATGAATGGAGTCCCCATAAATGCTTTGGGCAGGTGACTGAAGGGAAGTACCAAAATGTCGATGCGACAGAAGACAAGATTCTTATCTAGTACCTCATCAGTCTTAGAGTGATCGCAGAGAAGGAAGGCACTACTGTACCGGACAACTGTCATTTTTCAAACTCCGAGGCGACTCCCCTCTATCAAGCCCAGCCTCATAGAAGGTAACTCTGAACGCTTGGAGGAAACTCAGCTAAAACTACTATAGACGGTGGAAGCGAGCTTAGTGGTGACTAACTGTGAGCTACATCGCCGCCGGGAGTCATCACTGGCGGCGTCCGTCGTTCTTTGGTTGCGCGTTTTCTAGATCTTCTTAGGCTCTGCTCTGCTCCTATGTAATTATTGTGCTCAATCCTCCATCTTTTAACACACTCGATTTATGGAATCAAGCTTCGATGATTATCTTGACCATATTGCAAGTGACGTTACGCTGGTATACCATAATTATTGACTTACAATCTGGCCCCGGTTCCCATACCCGCCTTCTCGTCATTGGGTGCACAGAAGCCAAGGGAAGCACCAGGTACGTTGGCCCTTTGATCTCAAGAACTCCTGCCTTAGATTTGTGCCATTGAGTTGATGTGCTGAGTTTCCCAGCATTCTTCGTCCGACCGGAGGAGTTTGCATTGGGATCGTCTCAGGCCATATCTTTCGGAAGTATTTCAGGACAGCTCTAGCTTGAAACAGGGGTGGGTATGGCATCATGTATTTGGACATGACTGTACACATCCTCAGCAGCTGTCCTTCCGCCTCTCTTTTGAAGATGCCACGACTCGCCTTGTTCTCAGCCTGACTCCCTTACCGGAGACCAGTTCTCCAGACGGTCGCCTCCACAGACGACATCATGACAGTCCAGACTCCAGTTCGTCACAGGAACGCTTCGAACATCCCCATAACACGCTCATATTCACCGTTCGGCGCCCGCCCCTCCTCGAGGTAGACTTCCGCTACCTCAGAGACAACCCCGCCGGGCCTCAAGACGCGTCGCGCGACGGAACCCGATTGTAGTCTTGACGAGATGGATGAGTTTGGCCGCTGGCACGGGTGCCCCGGGGGACAGTAACGCGTGGATTCAGGCCACGCATGCCGATGGAGGCGCCTTTGGTCCCTTCGCGCGTTCTGGCTTCGCCGTCGCGCTCACTACATAGCAGCTCGGTCAGCGGCTGACGTACGGGCTCACCTCCATCTGCAATCGCGCGGAACTGGAGCGTGTGACCACGGCACTCTCTCGGCTGCGCACCCTGGAACGCACTCGCGGGGAGAAAATTGGGTTCGAGAACTCTGGGCCGGGAGGGGACGTTGTGAACGGCACTGAGCGCAGAGGATGGCTTCGCGACGACCCGGCTCCGCCTCTGGACGACCTCCTGGCGATACAGAAGCATCCCTTCAATGTGCGGTACCTGGTCATGGGACTCGTCGGACAGGGGCTCCTACTGAAATGCGAAGGTGGGCCTAAATGCTTCGACCCGACCGTCTCTCGACTCATCGCGTGCAGTAGCAAACCTCTTCCATCTACTGCTTCCCGTCCACAAGTACCACCGACCTACCATCCTGCGGGCCCTCTTCCGACTCGACCGTCGAGTCCTCGTAGGCAGCGGGCTAGCCAAACAAGTGGGTGCACTGACACGACACCTCGGCGACCCCGGAAGAGAAATACACTCGATGCAAAGCCTCAAAGTGGGCAACAAGTAATTAGGTGACGCGGACCCTCGCTTTCTGGAGATAAATGAGAAACGTTTCGAGTAGAGAGGCCACAACCGGATGGGATTAAGAAGATTGTTTGATTAGTTTTGCTACTAGCTACCATAAGTAGAAAAGAGAGACACCCGACTCAGCGGTCGGTCATCAAACCCCGCGGCAATCTACCACTGAACCGGCGACTTACGGGCGCTATTCCAGAACCTACACACCAAACAACATCAGCAAGCACAGCGCACGACGGGACGAGGCACGGACCTGCAGCGCGCATCGAGGAGCGGGTCGGTGTTGAACGCCCTGACGACGGGCACGCCCGCTTCGGTCCTGTTGAACAGCATCTCGGTCTGGTCCACGTCGTACTGGTTCCACTGCGGCGTGAGCGTGTTCGCGTTGATCTTCTGGTTCGGGTCGAGGTTGACGATGAACGACGTGAAGGACTGCGCGAAGGCGTTGATGAACTGCGTGTTCTGGTACGGCGGCGGGTTGCCGGTCGGCCAGTAGTAGGCGGTGTCGTCGACGTGGAGCGCGGGGGGCACGGCGAATTTGCCCTGCGGCGCGTCAGTCTGTCTTTTACCTTACAGCCGAGCTGGAACAAACAAACCTTCCACGAGTGACCAGAGTACGCGTTTGCGAGATAGTACGAAGGGCAGATAAAGATCGCTGCCCCAGAATCAAAAACAGTCCAAACCCGAGCAGAAACGCAACCCACCTTCGCCCATGATGGCTTCAACCTGGAACACATTGTCCCCGAGACCAGCATACAGCGAGCCGACCTTCTTCGCTTGCGTCTCGGTGAGATGCGGGAACAGCTCCAGCGCGTATTGCGACGCGTTCACGTTCGACGTGGTGTTGATGAAAATCGTTCCCTCGAACGCGTTGGCGATCGCCAAGAGCGCTTGCTGGTGTCGGTTGAGTCAATAACATATCACACTGAGGCAGTCAAAACCACTTACGCCGTTGACTTTGCGCTTCTGCAGAGCGGCGATCGGGGACTGGACGATGTACTCGCCGTCAACCACAGGCACCCACGTGAACGTGCCGAAGAAGCCGCCGTTGTTGACGTTGTTGTTCACCGTGGCCATCGCCGAGGCGTCGACAGATCGCAGGCACGACATGACGTCCGCGGCAGATGTACAGCTGTCAAAGACCCATCCGTGAGAAACAATGGAACGGCGTTATCGCAGGAGCACCGACTTGTTCTGGGCAGCAAAGGTGTTGAACAGAATCTTTAGGAAAAACATGAATGACAGAAGAGGCGGGCTGAATAAGAAGCACCGACCTCGGCGGCGGGATCGTCGTACTTGTATTGAGGAGGGAGGTAGCTCGAGCTGGTGATCGCAGCGCGGAAAAGCTGGGGTTGAGTCTTTCCGTTGTTGGCAATCAGGTGCTGGAGAACAGAGCCACCGCCAGCACTGCGAGACGATCAATTACAGAACGCCACAGATGGAAAACAATCAACCTCTCGCCCCAGATCGTAACCTTTGAAGGATCACCGCCGAATTGGGAGATCTGCGAGATGTTATGATCGCTGGAGAGAGTGCAGAAATAGAACACTTACGTGTTGTTGAACCCAGCGCAACGCAAAGTCCTGGTCGACTGGGAACGATGGATGAGCCTCTGCGAAATTGTCAAGACAGAAAGAAACTCACGGATACCAGCGTTCAAGTCTCCGTCCTCCTTTGTCGCCGTTCCAGGAAGGAAACCTTTCCCAGAGTCAGCAAAACACGCAAGCCTGACTGGAATCCACACACCGAAGGCACCGAGACGGTACTGAATAGTGACGACGACCACGCCCTGGTTGGCCTGTCGGATGATGTCGCCGCCGTCAAAGTTGCTGATGTCGCCAACATCGTATCTGAGAAGCACTGAGCGAGAGAATCAAGAATCCAAAACAACCAACTGACCCTCCGCCGTGGATCCAGAACAGCGTCGGCAGCTTCTCTTTGGGCTTACCGGCAGCATCGCTCGGATAGAAGACGCTGTGCAAGCCAATCAGTGGGATTACTCCAGAGGTCTACATGCCCAGTCCACGCACTTGAGGAAAAGACAGTCCTCGCTGGGCGAGATCGTCGCGCGCTTCAGCGACATGAAGTTGCCGGGCGCCTTGCCGATGAACGCCTGGTAGCACTGGTTCGCCTCGACCGTCGCAGACTGGACGCCGCTGACGTTCGCCGGCGCCGTGGGCGCGCGGAATCGCAGGTCCCCTGCATGCCGCTTAGCCTCGTCTCATCCTAGCCACCACTACCGAGCGAGAGAGAGCAAGCACTCACCGACGGGGGGCGCGGCGTACCGGATGCCGATCAGGCTGGTGACATTGGTGGTCGTGTTGACCGCGCCCTGGTACTTGGCGTACCCGAGGTCGAAGATGGGGGACTGCACCTGCGCGGAGGCCACCACGGCCAGGGAAAGTAGGGGAAGGAAGGTCTTGGTGAGCATTGCGAAATCGCGTGCCGGGTTAATTTTGCTGGCTCCCTCCACCCTCCCTCACATGCCTTATATCAAGACCCACTCGCTCAGTCTCGGCAGCAGCTGCGTCATCCGGCGAGCCACCGTCCTCCGACCGTCGCACTGGCACACCGAATGCCATGTGTCGGGATCCACGCTGTGCCACACAACACCAGCTTCTTCGGACTCTTTTCGCGAAGATCATCATTGTGTCGGGAACCGCATTTGGACGCGATCCGCCCTTGTTGCCCGTGACAGTCAGATTGCGCACGGTGTTTTCGCGCAAAGTTTCTGGGACTGTCATCTCGTGGCCACTTGCGCCTCAGCCCGATCGAGCCCGTGAATGCCCAGCTGAGGCTCGAGCCACGCCAAGAGGCCGTCGTTAAGCGGTGTCACGAGGGATGGTGGATTTGTAAGGGAGCAGAAAGGAGCGCGCGGCATGGATCCAGAGGCTGTGCAGCCGAGGTGTGTCGTCCCGCAACTGCTTTGACGCGGGTCCCCCCGTGCTTCCCTCCGCCGCCTCCGAACCCTGAACGACACGGAAGGAGCCGGACAGCAAGCATGCAACAGGACGCAACGGACTTGACGAGCCTTCTCGGTCTAGGGACCCGCGGGCTAGAGTCGTTGGCATGACCCAAAGAATCACTCATCACTGTAACGATTAGCAGTAGATCCGACACTGGAATTTTGCGCGTACTGTATGCGATCTGATGGACGATCTCCCATACTCCTTATCAGCGTCGACTGTTGGACATCGACTTGCTTCCTGCGGGTTCTATCATATGTTTGGACGGTCTTCTTCCACATTCCACCCATGTAACGTTCGGGCGCCCTCAGCACCGCGCCCGGCGGAAATACTTGCACCTCGACGATAGACGCTACGGGCCATAAACGCTCTCCATGAAAGGCTTCAAAGCGGAGAACAAGACCGGGATGAAAACTGCAGGCATGCTCGAAGTCGTGCGTCCTCTGCTCTTTGTCCTGCCCGCGCTTTTTGATCTCTCTTTCAGCCCAACAATGGCGCTCGTGGCTTTGTCGTGGTGGTGCATTGTCGGCACCACGCATAAAAGCTCGCACGCGCGCGCCGATGACCAGATCCAGTCTCTGTCGCGAACTGAGCAGCGCTCCTCGCGACGACGTCCACCTTCCCTATCCAAGTCTACACCTTGCTACGCGTGAATCTCATGGCAGCCAACCACAGCCCCAGCCTGAGAGAACGCTGCACTGTCTCCCTGCGCGTCTGTACAGACGTCGACCCGTGCGCCACCCGATCCAAGCTCACCGCCGACCTCGTCTCCACGGCGGGCCGCACTCCACCCGCGTCCCCGATGTGCGTCGCACTGAACCGCCGCAGCTGTGTGCCTCCGCCGCTGCCGCCTCCGCCGCGCGCAACCGAGAGTGGCCCCTCCGCATCTGAATCGACGTCCTCCGGGCCGTCCGCGCGGCAGTTCATTCCGCACCTGCACACCCTCTGCGCCTTCGACCAGCCGCACGCGTTTGCCACGGACAGCGCGGCGCTGCCTGCGGGCAACTGGACGCACGCCGTGCGCATCCTGCGCGCGTCGAAGGCGCACCTGCCCGGCAGCCTGCGCATCTCCGACCTCGGCCCGGCGCAGGTCCTGGACCTGTTCGAGCGCCCGCGCAACATCGACGCGCGGGCGCGCGACGGCGGCCTGCCGCTGCGGCGCGAGCATCTGCTGCTGGCGCGCGATTTCCTGGCGCTGGCGCTGCCGTACTACTCGACCACCGTCTCGCTCTCGGACGACGGGGACGACGTCGATCTGGGCGACGCTTACCCCTTTGAGCAGCTGGGGCTGCCGCCGGTGTATGAGTCCCGCACGGATCCGGTCCGCGTGCTGCTTGCGGGTCCGGTGCGCGCGGTGCTGGCGATTGCCCTGGTGTACACCGCCTATGCCTCGGGGAGGAAGCTGCGGTATGTCATGGATTGTGTGGGGGACGAGGGCGACGACGCAGATGTCTGCGCGGTCCTCGGTCCTGACTCGAGGATGGGGCTTACAGACCAGGCATTGGACGAGCTTCAAGCCATCGTGAATAGTCTGTAACGTAATACTTCTGTTGTACTAGTAAGGCGACAAGTTTCAGCTCCGGCTGGTATCAACATCCATGGAAAGCAGGTTGCTCCAATCCACTGTCGCCGTTTGAGATCTATCCTCTCCATGACTGGCTCTCTTGGCAAACTGCGCACGAGGCTCATGCAAAGATACAGTATGAACTGTCGGTTATCCCTGCACACGTTCAGCGTCGAGACCAGCCGACTGAACACACAAGCGGCCTCCAATCCGAAATCGACGCAACAGCGAGAAGATCTCATTCGGAGTTCGGCACGGCGCGCGCATAATGGTGGGCCCGAATTCCCTGGATTCGGTCCTATTATCCCCTGCTGACGAATACGACCTAGTCTGCGGGCATGGAGAAGAGAATGACGAGGATGACGAGCCCGGCTGCTCTAGGGATGCAGTTTTAGCGGTGATACTGCAGATCTCGCATCTCGTGAAGGCAATGCCGACCACACATAGCGGTGTGTTTGCAAACTGGACAGGCCAAAGGGGCTCACAACTAATCGTCATCTAGAACTATCACCTCCCGCCCGGGTTTATGGCCTGTGATCACGATCTCCTCCTCCTCCTCCTTCTTGAGAACCACCTGAGGCCCGTCCGTGGGGTGAGCACGGTTGTTGTCCTCGTCGGCATCGTCCCATGGGCTGCGCCAGGCTTCCAGCAGATCCTCGTCCTCCTCGTCTTCTTCTTTGATTACATTCTCCGACACTGAATGGCACAGCTCTGGTTCTTCCGTCAACGGCCTCTCACCCCACGTAAGGAGACAAGACACACACCATCAGCCCAGATCCATGGAAACGACACCAGCTCCCTCCGCTTCACCTCGCCGTACACCTGCTCCTCCTCGTCGTCGTCGTCGTCGCTGGCGTACCCACCCACGCTCGAGACCCCGGCCGACCCCAGCCGACTCGGATTCAGCGCATCGACGAAGCGCTGCCGGAACTCCGCCACATGTGTGACTTGGTAGCACGCCAGTGCCCAGTTTTCCATGGCGTTCCCTGAAGGATTGTCCTTCACGAAGCGCCGCGCGTCGCGGCGAAACTGATACCGGAGGGCCTCGATTCCCTCCCGCACGGGGCCCTGGACAGCGGCTCAGTGGGATCAGGAGGGCACGGCACCAGAACACACCCGCATGGCATCGTCGGCTGCCCGCCGGCGTTTGTGCTCGTTCATGATAGAAACGCCAGCGATGATCTCCGCCTCGCACAGGCTGTGCTGCCTCATCATCCCTTCCAGCTCCACGTCGTACTGGGAAGCCGATCAGCCAAGGGCAGTCATAAGACGGGCCGAGACGACCCACGGTCTGCTTCATCTCGCCCGCAAACTTGAGATAGGTCGGCGGGACCTTGCGCGTCGTAAATCGTCTCTCGACATGGACATCATCCGAGCCCTCGTACGTCGGCGCAGGCTCGATCAGCCGGAACATCATCCCCAGCACGTGAGTGCTCTTGTACGATCGGAGCGGGTCCTTGTCCATGAAATCGGGAAAATGCGTGGGACGCAGACTATCCCAATGACATGAGTGACACAGGGCACACGATAGCCGAAATACGGCATACTGGGATGGCTGGTGCACAGGCACACCCGACTTAGCGAAATCGACCGCGTCGGAATTGATTTTGGCGAGTTCGAGGCAGTCTGGATGGGTGGGCCCGAGATGGTCCGAGAGTGCCATGATGTCGGAGGCGACCAGCCCGAGAATATCGCTCCGAATGAAGTCTGGGCGCATGGCATGAGCTCATGGAGCTGTTCGATTGGCTGCTTACCGACGACGAATTGGCAGACGTCGGAAATCGCGATTCTGTCCTTCCTCAACGGCACGACTGGGGTGTAGTCCATAGCTTCGTGCTCTCGAGTGATTCTGCGGTCTGTCAATGAGTGAATGCTGACCCAATATAATGCGTACTGCAGCTCTTTATCATAGATGAGGGTATAGAAGTCTCCGTCCAGGTCTCCACCTCCCAGCATGGACGGCAAGTCCCGCTTGCTTTTCTTCGTGCTGAATACGATGACATTAGTAAGCGGGTATTTGTGGAAGGCTTCGTGATCGACTGCTTGGACCAAACGCGCGTCGCCGGGATGGATGCAGGGCGAACGGAATATCGTACACTGCAGGTTTGCTTCAATATGAAACAGAGCACTGCACAGTTGTGACGGACCTGGCCGGTGATCACTCGTCGTGCACCGTTCGTGGGTGTGATCGCACAATACACTTGTCCTTCTTCCAAAACACTCCAAAGAATCGATTGCTTGGCAATGGGCTGTAAACGGGAAGCTCACTCGTATTCGTCGGCAATTCCTATAAAAGACCTGAGGGGGAGGATGACGGATACTAGACTAATACGCACCCATCAGGAACGCGCCTTCGGGCACCAACAAGCGCTGTGATTGACATGCTCAGCCGTCAGCACAAAAGAGAAGACGAAGCCATCTCACCGCCCGGTACTTCAAGTCACGCAGCAGCTGACACTTGATGCAACGTAGCACATTCTTGACCAGGACATGCTTCTCCAATCCCGCTTTGAACATCTTCGCGATCGGGATCATCGCGTTCTGGTATAGCTTCCGAGTACCATAACGTGCCGGCGTGAGACTGCGCAGGTCGTTTTCGAGGTTGTTGGCGTGGTGGATCTGCTCCTTGAACTTGCCGAGAAGCGCACGGATGTTCGTCCCGAGTGCCTCCATGATCAGAATGGCCTGGCGATTCAGATGGGCTGGCGCGAACCCCGACACCTTCATCACCCCCAGATCGCGCAACGGGGAGTCGAATTTCCGCATCGTCGGGCGGATGCACACTTGATTGTCCTCGAGATGCGGGTGGACAGAAAGAACGCCTTTGATTCTGTACCGTATCTCATTAGAGAAGCCTGAGATGCGTGATGGAACCTCGCTGACGCACCCGCCCATTCGAATCTGGATTGCAGATGGCTCTGCTATCTTTCCTAGTGCCTTGGCGCACAGGCTTGCCAGCGCCTGACTACAGTTCCCGACGCCATCTGTAAAGGTGCTGAACATATCAGCAGGGGGCAGCACAAGAGATGATTCGGACTGACTACTTGCCGTGAGTGACGTCCGGCAGATCCTCAATGTCACCCATATCGAGTTGTACGACGTGCTTGGTGGCACTGAAGCAGAGGCCCATGCGCGCCGCATACTTGGCCACTAGGCGTCATTTAACAAACAATCGAGCTAGCAAAGCACTGATACGCACCAACCTGCTCCTTGGAGAAATCTCCCATCTGCTTACGCACAGCGTCAGCAGTGAACGCACCCGTTTCACACACCATCCAGCAGGAATGGTCCTTGAGCTGAGATTCGCCAGCTGCAAGGAAACTGAAAAATGTGTGAAACGAAAGCGAAAGCACTTTTGCGACGGCCACGCACACGTAGAGTCTGCCAGCCACCCACACCCCATTGACGAGAACATTGTGAACACGGGCAAGCAGGCCACGATCAGGATCCACTTCCTGAGCTGGTTCAAGCCTTGCAGAATAAGCAACGACACCAACGCACCTCGGCCTCGACGAGAGCTTTCTTCATCTTCATCCGCCCATCCTCGTCCGCGAAGCCAACTCGTATGATCCTGCCATCGATCACCTCGTCCGGCCACGCCCTCAGCACGCGATTGCCCGTCTCGATGGAGGCAGGGAACGGCATGACACGCGTAGGTGTCACGACAACACGCATGATCGCAAATCGTCCACCCGGCAGCTTGTGGATGGGGGGTTGCGGGTCGCCGAGGTGTCGTGTCAGTGCACCCACTTGTTTAGCTAGCCCGCTGCCTACGAGGACTCGACGGTCGAGTCGGAAGAGGGCCCGCAGGATGGTAGGTCGGTGGTGCTTGTGGACGGGAAGCAGCAGATGGAAGAGGTTTGCCACTGCACACGATGAGTCGAGAGACGGTCGGGTCGAAGCATTTAGGCCCACCTTCGCATTCCAGTAGGAGCCCCTGTCCGACGAGTCCCATGACCAGGTACCGCACATTGAAGGGATGCTTCTGTATCGCCAGGAGGTCGTCCAGAGGTGGAGCCGGGTCGTCGCGAAGCCATCCTCTGCGCTCAGTGCCGTTCACAACGTCCCCTCCCAGCCCAGAGTTCTCAAACTCCATCTTCTCTCCGCGAGTGCGTTCCAGGGTGCGCAGCCGAGAGAGTGCCGTGGTCACACGCTCCAGTTCCGCGCGATTGCAGATGAACGTGAACCCGTACGTCAGCCACAAGCCGAACTACCGCACGGTGAGCTCGACGACAAAGCCAGTGCGCACAAAGGGAAGAGACGCACCTTCATCGGCGTGCGCGTCCAGAATCCACGCGCCACCGTCCCTGGTGCACCCGCGCCAAACTCATCTATCTCGTCGGGACTCCAATCGAGCTCCGTCGCACGACGCGTCTTGAGGCCCGGTGGGCTATCCCTGAGGTAGCGGAAGTCCGCCTCGACGAGGGGCGGGCGCCGAAAGGTGAAGATGAGCTTGTTATGTGGGTGTTCACGCGTTCCTTTGACGAGCTTGACCGTCGTGATATCGTCTGTCGAAGCGACCGCCTGTAAGACTGATTGCCGGTGAGCGGAGAAGTGGAGGTGAGCTAAGAAAGTACCTGGGACAGGATTCGGTGTCGGTGCATCCTCGAAAGAGAGGCGGAAGAAAAGTTGCTGAGGAGGTAAGTCAGGCCCAAAGATGTTATACCAGACCCACCCCTGCTTCGAACTGGAGCTTCAAACATGACTTGGAAACCGTCGTCCTGAAGTACTCGCGAAAGATATGCGCCTGAGATGATCCCAGCGCAAACTCCTCCGGCCGGACTAAGAAGGCTGGGACAGACAGCACATGAGCTCAATGCGGCAAATCGGAGGTAGGAAATTTCGATTTCGAAAGGTAGACGTGCCTGGTGCTTCCCTTGGCTTCCGCACAGCCGATGGAGACAAGGCGGGCGTTGGGACCTGGGTCAGATTGTGAGGAGACTGGCGCGGTATGCCGCATAGTGTCACTCGCCATGTCGTCAAGATAATCATTGAAGTTGAAATCCATCGCTCAAGTGTGCTGCGAGATGGAGGATTGGGAAACGTTGTGCATAGGGGCAAGGAAAGAGCCTAAAAGAACTAGAAACTTGCAACAAAGAACGACAGACGCCGCCTGTGATGATGGCCGGTGGCGGTGCACTGCAACGCTACAGCTTTTCACTACCATTTCGAAGGACAAGATTTGGCTGATCTACCAAAGCTGAGCAACTGCTTGATATCAAAGCTGGAGTGTCGGGCGCATGACCTGTCTCTTTGTTTCTTTGACTTCCAGAATGGGCACCACGGTTCATTCAGTTTCGGCCCCGCGACGAGCGGGAGACGGTCCTTCAAGCTCGGTCTGCTCAGCGCCTGATTAACTCCTCGCACTGTTCTCGACCTCTTTCGAGCCGTTGATAAGATAATTCTGGAACAAGTGCATGGTGGTAGAGCGCCTCGCTTCCTACATAAAGGCTTCTGCGGGAATCGAGTTACTGCATCTTCCCCAGCCCTCCCCTTCACATCGCCCCCATCGATTATATGCATCTCAGAACAGCTTTTGCAGCCCTTCTGGGCTTGATTGTCTCCGGAGCAAATGCGTATGGACTGGCGAGTGTTCAAATATTTCGACACATCAAGCCTTTCCCACTCACAGTAGAATGGCAGCATAATTCCCCAGTGGATCTGATTAATGTGGCATACAATGCTTCAATATTCATTCTTCCCGGCGCTCAGTCCCCAGCCACGGTTTACGTTGCCAAAAATCGGGAAACCGACAGTTCTTCTCGCGTATGTGCTACAACCTATTCAAAAATCCCCTACTTATATATCGTCCCTGTGAAAAGTGGCTTGAATGGTACCTGGACATGCCCAACCGCTTCTACACTCACCGTGAAAGCAACCTGGTGCTCACCGTCGACCGCAAAACGGTAGGACAGATTATAACGTCTCTCTATCTACCTCAATACGTCACAACAGAACCGCGTGGTGGGGACGGATTCTGGAACGACATTCGCACAGGAAGATGCTGACAATAACGACGTCCAAGTGGTGCGGACTTTGTTCTTTACTTCGAAGTCCTCATCGCGAATTGACGTGCATCTTCAGATCAAGCTCCCCTACGCGGACGCAGTATGGGATATCATTCACGATGATAAGGACGCCCACCCGGAGTATGGAATTGTGCGTCGTGTTCTTTGCCTTTCGTTTTGTGGCTTATTGAGCATGCTTTTAGCTGGTACTTCGTCCAGCGGATGGAACTGAGACGCAACGGTGGATAGATCCGGTTGATTTCGGACCGGTTGGAGAACAAGGTCGTTGATGGTTTGAAAGTAACGGGGTTGAAGCGGATTTCAATTGGTTGAGCGGTCTCGATCGCTGGGAGCAACTGTTTTTTGTTTACTGCGATTATTCAGCGATGAATATTAGTGGGACGATCCAGTGAAATGGAGTATTCATTTCAATCATGCTGCCTCAGACGTCGATACTATTTTGAAAATGTGTGGGAGGACGCAAAAATCGGATAGCTTCTGTATCTCGGTCGCGATGAACCAAGCATTTTCAATCCTACACACATTGTAGAGACTCAACAGTACAACAGTGAGAAGGGAACAGGTTATACGAGGGACACCGGGAAATGTAGTACAGCAGAGGCTTGGAACGCAAAAACATTTGCATTAAGGGGGAATCGAACCCCCGGCGGGTCGAAACTCGCTTACAAGTGGCAACGACCCAGGTTACCACTACCCCATTAATGCCCGGAAAGAAAGGACGGAAAGTCATTTACAGTCTCCGTGGTGTTCACTTCGCATCTCCTTCGCTGGCAAGCCACTTGGTACCAGTCAAAACGACATTAGGATCGATGGCACTCCTTTTCTCACTCGCAGGATGTATGAATGCTTCTCTCTGCTGGCTAGAACTCCGTCAGCAGGATTCATTGGTTTCATCTTCGCGCATGCACGTGAGCGTTCTGATCCGCCACACCCGTGTCCTGACACGAATCAAGGTTGACTTCGATCCCTCATCCACCCCGACTTTCCCCAGAGCCTGCCTCGAACTTGAACTCGATGTCTCAAGCTTCTTCGCCAGCAGAGGCGCCACCTGCCAAAATCGAGAAGACGACGGTCCACAATCACTTCGAGAACAAGTCCTTGACAATGGATCTGACACCGCTCACGGCGGCGTTTGGCGCGTTTGTCAGGTCTACCCGCGAGTGCGCTTTCCCGCAACTAGTCGTTTCGTGCCGCGGAAAACGCATGGCCTTTGGCCGAGAGTCTCTCCGAGGGATGAAGGAAGATGTGCGTGTCCGTTCCACGCAAGTCCCTTGCCTCCGCTCACGGAAATCATAACAGCAAGCCAAGAAGCTGTTTATTTCCCGTTTCGCCGAGGAGAGAGATTACACCACCGTAGACATCCCTGCTACTGCCTGGTTCTCGGCTCGCACTCAAAGAATCCCACCGGCGGTGCGCTTTGTTGCGACCTTCTGTCGGGGTGAGGAACGCAGGGAAGAACTAGGCCCTATTGCCCTGGATCCGACATCCTGGACAGAGAATATCATGAATGTGCGCAGCCTAGAAATCGAGTTCTCGCCAAAGACCATTTGAACGTGGGGTCAAGCCTGCAGGAACTATCTACATAATCTATTCCAATTTCCAACCAGTAACTTATATCTAGGTTCCACTCAGAATTCTATCAGCTTCGCAATATCCCGTGCCGGTTCTCCATCCATCCGCTCCTTCCGCCACAGATCCGCAATATGGACCGCATTCTGCCGCAGTCTCTCCCCTCGGGCGCCCTTGAGCGCACCGAAAGTCTGCTCGAACTCGATGCGTGCGTCCTCGACTGTGCCTGTGATCTTGCTTGGTGCATCGGAACGAAGGGACGGTCCCAGCTGCTCTCCAGCCCGAATCTTTACCCGTTGATCAGAGAACAGCGAGTAAAAAGAGTTCAATCTGAAGGCTCACTTGAAAGAGTTCAATACCAATCGGAAGGGGTCCAGTCGACAGCATCGCAGCGTTGACGGCTTGTTCCGCTCCGACGGGCCAAAAAATAAGTGGAATTCCTTGGCTCAGCGACTCAGTCAACGAGCTGCGATGAGTTTCTGATCAGTTTTGAAAAGTATGTCTGAGGTCTGGGGAACTGACTTGTAGCCCCCATGAGTCAAGAACCATCCGACTGTACCGCATTCCAAGATCGCCTTCTGATCGACCCAGAAATCGCAGACTAGTCCTCGACCGCTGGCGTGGATCCGGTCGATAATTTCTTGAGGCAGAGAGGCCATCGCTCCCGCGAGGACAAAGACGAACGGAAGGGGTGTTTTCAAAGTAAGAAGCACGTCCACCATGACCTCGACGAGGTGTGGAGTGGCAAGCGGGAAGAAAAGAGATCTTCAACCATGCTCAGTTCAGTCCGTTTTTCACGATGGAGCAAGCAGAAACGCACCCAAATGAGATATACAGCACCGAACCGGGCCCAAACTGTTTCCGGGCGTTTTCTAGGAAAGTCTTGATACGCTCCTCACTAGGGCCAGGACCCGCAGACCGAGTTTTCCAGTCTCTGTCATGCATCTGAGGGCCAACGAGAAAGAGCTCCTGATTGCGTTTCTTGTAATACTCTCGAGAGAATTGGGTCGCGATGGGTTCCATTGCGCTGCTGGCGGGACACATAATGGCATCGGCAACCTGAGCCAAGCCCTGCGCAGCGGAGAGCACAGGGGCAAGGTCACGAGGGCCCCCGGCGCCACGCGCGATATGCTCGTGGTCGTATATGTCCAATGAACCTACGATCTTGATCGTGCGCCCATCGAGTTTGTCGCTGCCGTTCCAAGCGGACACGACCTGTCCCAGACCCAATGGGTCAGTCCGCCGCCTACATGACGCAAAAAATGAGGCCGCACATCACCGAGGATGTCCTCCATCGACCGGCCTGCGCGCCGTGACTCGTCCGCGTAGATCTCCCGCGCGATTTCGGCAAAGTTATAGTCGCTGAGGTGGTCCGGCAGGGCGTTGACGCCGCCGGAACACCACAAAACGAGCTTAGATTCGGGTCCCAGCAAGGCTCTCGTGGGCGCAGCGACGAACCCGCCTCCGAAGAAGTCCAGCTTTGCCCAGATCAGCGCCAGAAAGCACGAGGAGAGGGGCGTCCACCCCGGTCAGAACGCACATGGACGGTGTAGGGCCTGGGCCAGGCGCTCTCTGCAGCGTCGGTGGGGCCGGCGCCGACTGCCTTCGCGAGGATCTCTAACCATCGTCCCGCCAGATCCTTTATCGCTACTTCGACGAGTGCCGGTGAGAATTTGATTCTGCGCGTTGATGATCATATTAACACGTGAAGAGAAGAAGAGCGGGTGAAAAAAACACCCACTCTTTGTCGCCAACACTCTCGATCTTGAGCCTGCTCTGATCATATGTGCAGCCGTCAAGCTCCTTCAGCATCTTGGGCACTGGATTAAACTATCAGACATGTCTCGCAGAGGCGTCGAATGATCGCACGAATCAGATTGTGCTGCACGATGGTGATGACGAGCTCCGGATCCTGGGCCAGCATGCGTGTCGTCAGATGGATGTAGGGCAGAGTGTGGCCCCACGCCGGAGCGAGCAGCGTCAGAATGTGTCGGCGAGGCATAGGCGGATGTGTGAGACGATAACTTCGTCCATCCCAGTTTTTATGCTCGGTAAATTAGCCTCAGGCGTTGACAGGTAGAACAGCAAGAAGCTGGTAAGAAGACAGCTGGGACTGATTCAGCCTCCCGAATTCTCCGCAATCTGTCAGCGTCGCTGACGTACCGTGGGCCGTTGAAATGGATTTAAGCGTCTTACAATACTTGCGGCAGTTTGTGAGGTGCTGATTCTAAAGATAGAAGCCTTCTTTCAACTGGTCTTGTAGTAGCGAGTGTGATTTTTCCACCACTGATTTACTTTGATATTTAAGCTGACAACAGAACTCTTATATTTGCTTTCTAAGCCGCGTTCCGGCTCAAGGAGACCCGTCCAAAGCCGGTGGAGAGTCATCATGCAATGAAGGTTTTTCCCGCTGATACATATCCGTCTCCGCCTCCGAATGCTGTCAACCGGTTAATCTCTCGCGCAGGTTCCCCATCGATCCTCTCCACACGCCAGAGTTCCGCGATCCGGGCCGCGTTCCGCGTAAGAGCTGCCGCCTTGGGACCCTTTAGAGATCGGAACGTCATTTCGAACTCTGCCCTCGCGTCCTCCACTGTGCCCGTGATTTTTGGCGCGTCAGGACGGAGCGAAGGACGGAGCTGAGTCCCAGTGCGTATCTATGTCGTCTGAGTAATGTTACGGCCGTCCCCTAAGAATAGAGACAAAAAGCACCTGAAAGAGCTCGATGCCGATGGGATTGGATCCGGTTGAAAACATGGCAGCATTGGTTGCTTGCTCTCCGGCGATCGGCCAAAAGATGAGTGGAATCCCTTGACTCAATGATTCGGTCAGCGAGCTGCAACTCGATCAACTGGATTCTGCGAACGCAGTGGGGAAATGGCCACGGACTTGTAGCCACCATGTGTCAAGAACCAGCCCACCGCTCCGCTCTTCAGGATGGCCTTTTGGTCGACCCAGAAGTCGCACACCAATCCCCTCCCACTCGAATGAACACGATCGATCGTTTCATCAGGGAGCGTGGCCATGGCTCCCCCGAGTACCAAAATGAACGGAAGGGGAGGCTCGAGATCCAGAAGCACTTGGATCATTGTCTCCACGAGATGGGGGGTCGCAACGGGGAAGAACAGAGATCTGCATAGAGCGATGTTAGAGCGCTTCACGCATAAAAATCAACCGACCACACCCGAATGATATATACATCACCGACTTGGGGCCGTACTTCGCGAGCGAGTCATCTAAGAAGGCCTTGACTCGGGGCTCACCGGGGCCAGTGCCCACAACTGACACCTCCCATTCTGTGTCGTTCATCTGCGGGCCCACCAAGAACAGTTCCTTGCCGCGACTCTCGTAATATTGCCGGCAGTAAGGCGCGCCAAGGGGCTCCAATGCGCTGCTGGCCGGACAAAGCAGTGCGTCAGCAACCGCAGCCAGCTCCTGCGCAGCCGCCCAAACGGGCGCGATTTGTCGCGGCCCTCCGGCACCCTGCGCGTTCCGTTCGTAGTCGTATATCTGGAGCGCACCCACGAGGTCCACGACCCGCCCATCGAGCTTGTCGCTCCCGTTCCAGGCCACGACCACCTAATCAGAAGCTCAGATGGTGTAATCGTAGGCTGAGTAGTGCGCACGTCGCCGAGGATCTCCTCCAGTGAGCGCCCTGCGCGTCGCTCCTCGTCGGCAAATATCTCGCGCGCGATTTTCCCGAAATTGTATTCGCCGAAGTGGTCGGGGCAGATCGTTACTCCCGCGGAGCACCAGAGCACGACTTTGGTGGCGGGCCCTAAGATCGCCTTTGTCGGGTTGATGACGAAGCCACCGACAAAGAAATCCATCTAGAGATTTACATCAGGAAAACCAAGAGGACACTCGGGAATACGCACGTGCACCGTGTGAGGTTTCGGCCACGCCAACGGCTGTGCAGCTCCAACCGCTTCGGTAAGAAAGTCGAGCCAACCCTCTGCGAGCTGCTTATTCGCCTCTTCGACGACCTCGGGCGAGAACTTGACCCTTCGTCGAGAATAAGGGTCGCGCAGTGACATGAGGAATGCACAACCCACTCTTTAACGCCGACAGCCTTGATCCTCAGACGATCCTTGTCGTACGCGCACGCGCTGAGCTCCTTCAGCAACTTAGGCACTATGAAGCCCAGTCAGTCCTCGCGTGCCGCATGCTCATGGATGGACCCAACGGATCAGATTGTGCTGCACGATGGTGACGCCCAGCTCGGGATCTTGCGCCAGCATGCGCGTGCTCAGGTGGATGTAGGGCAGAGTGTGTCCCCAAGCAGGGGCAAGCAGCGTCATAATGTGTCGAGAGGGCATGGCAGCGGAGCACACGAGTCGGTGGCGAGTTCCATCCCAGCTCTTATAGCTGTGGGGACTTGGGAGGGCAAGTTCAAAAAAGGAAGATGGGTGGCAGAATTGCCGAGATGTGTCATTAGAGCTTATGTATTGCCTTCCAGATTATTTCGACTATTGGAAGCTAACAAAATACGTGAATGATAATTACTCGCGATCAAAGTGCTTTTCGCTGAAACAGATTTGATACCTGGTCGTCACCAAGCCGCAGTGAGTAGGTAGGTCTCAATTTAAGGCGCTTGGTAGCCGGTATTCATCTCCTCCTTATGTGCGAACCGAGTCAGACACGCCCGCAGCCGATGAGCCTCGTACTACTATCTTTTTCCGACGTGATGTTCCGTATCAACAAATCATAGTTGCTTACATTGTCTTCCTTGGCAAGATGGACAAGATTTTTCTTTATTTTTTCAAACACGATTAGTCGATGATGTCAGGGCAGTGACATCCGGCTCCTTCCGAGGGATGCGTTGAACTGGGATCACGTGGGTTGATCATAAAAGAACAAAGGTAATTTCATACCCCTCGCTAGTCACAATGAGAGATCTTTATTGTCATTGTCTCACATGGCCCTCGAGTCCTTAATCGGGCCAGTAATCCTACTCCAAATTGTTGGGTTGGCTATTCCAGGACTCGTTGTCTTCAGAAATCCAGACTCGTTGTCACGCGCATACCTGCACGGACACAACGCTTTAACGATCGTGAAAGATGTGAAAGATTTTGTGAAGCCCCGATTTGAGACGATCGGACAGGAAGATGCTGATGCAGTGTTTGTGCTCAATGGGGAAAGCAACGACAATGGTGTGGCCTGCACTCAAGCGCATGTTCCGCGCTTTGATCTTTCGAATTGGTATATAACAAGTACTCACTATTTCGACGATTGATAAACTCGCTGATAGGCTCAACATGAAAGTGACTCTTACTCCCCTTCGTGCTCAGCCATTGAAAAAGGTCAGTCGCATCCTCCCGATCACGTGTCACACGTTGACCGACTGTTCATCATCAGGACCGGGATGAATCTGAATGCTACAGGATTCCACCACCCAAGACCTCCTTTGTTGACAAGATGGAACGCGACGTTTACATTTATGATCTGGGTCCTGAACAGAAAAGCCTGTATATCGACTGGTGGCATTCCGACATCGGCATGAAGTTCGTCGGGCTCTGTCCAACCTCATCGGTCGTTGAAGCAGTGGAATTTCATCCCGACCACGGACCATGCACGGTTGGTGTGTCCATGATTCTGGCACGCCTGGGCGCTGGTTTCGAGCAGCCCCAGAGGATGATCTTGAACGATATTTTGGATCCGCTTATCGGACATATTCCCTGTCCCGTTCTCGTGATATCGGTGAGTGTTCAGGTTAAATGAAAGCTACACAATGATTCTCATGTCCTGAAAGTGGCCTGGGTACGGGAATTCCAAGCAACCACCAGTTCGACCAGGTGGCTCTCATGAGAAGATCCCACTGCGACGTCCATTGGTAATCAGCCATAAAACCACTGTCGCGGACCTGGCGAGGCAAGTGGCGGACCACCTCTACGTTTTCTCAGAGGTAAGAACACCAACGTAGTTTCCGAACTTGTTTGACACAAGAAATGCAGATGTTCTCCGCTTGTTTCAATCCCACGATTGCACATGGAATTCGCCTAGGCCCCGAGGGTGTCAAATTCGAACAGCTTCGGCTCGTGAGGCTGTACTCGCTCGACGCAGGGTGCACGTGGTGTGCGGAAGTGGCTATCGCGTACGATCTGGGTGATCTTTGGAAGCGCTGAGAACTTACTGTATATACGTCGTGCTGTGCGAAGCCTGGGGTGTGGCTGTATCCGGTTACAACTTACATGATATCAATATGAGCCATAGCATGGCACGAGTGAACAGCCATGACGCGCCGCGACACCGCCACGCATTGACACATTACGTACCGCGGCTGTGCCTTGTGGCCTTCATATACAGTCGTAGATCGTCCTCCTCCCTCATCTCATCTTCATCCCCCTCTCTCAAACAACAACTTGAACATGTCTTACGGCGGCGGAGTGAGTGCTCGGCGCTCTCCGATCTATCTGCAGCGTCCTATCTCTTCTGCCTCTCTGACACATGAGCAGTACGGCGGCCATTCTGGACATCCCCCTCCTCCCGGCGGCGGCGGCGGCTATGGGCGCCCTGGCGGATACGGCCCACCAGCAGGCGGACCCACCGGTACGTGTCACTCTCTCCACGACCGCCCACCCGTCTCACATCTCAGGCGGAGGCGGATACGGCGGCCCTCCAGCTGGCGGATACGGCGGTGCTCCGGGCGGTGGATACGGCGGCCCCCCAGGCGGCGGATACGGAGGTGCTGGTGCCGCTGGAGGTGGATACGGGGCCGCAGGCGGACACGCGGGTGGATTCGCGCCTCCCGGTGGTCAGGGCCCCCCACCTGGTGCAGACCCGCAGTACGTCATCTCTTGACAGGCTGCCCGACAAGTTCTGCGTCCTGATCCCGCCCTTTCGTGTCTCCGTAGATTGTGGAACTGGTTCACTTCTGTCGACGCCGACCGATCTGGCGCGATCACCGCGCCCGAGCTTGGTGTGTCGCCTGCTCTCCATCTGACTAGCTGCTGAGCGGGTGTGACTTCTGCAGAACGCGCGCTGATCAACGGAGATTGGACTCGTGCGGCTGTCTCGCTCGTTGTATTCGAGCGACGCTAATTAACAATCAGCCTTCGATCTTGACACTGTCAAGCTGCTGATGACCATCTTCGTATGCCTGGCTCGCTGGCAGGACGAGATACATACTGATAGTCATCTTTCCAAAGGACACCGATCGCAGTGGCACCATTGGTTTCAACGAGGTCTGTGTGGAGGTGCTTCGAGAGTTGCGACCACCCGCTGACACGCGCGCTCAGTTTGCTGGATTGTGGAAGTACATCAAAGACTGGCAAAACGTCTTCAAGCACTTCGACCGGGACCGCTCTGGCTCCATTGATGGAAGCGAGCTCCGCGATGCTCTCGCCCAGTTCGGGTTCAACCTATCTCCGCATCTCCTGGTCCTGGTCCAGCGTAAATACGGTGTGTCTCGTTCTCCATGACTCTAGCCCCCCCAGTTCCATATCTTCGTGGCTGCGGGCCGAGTCCTTTATTCCTCACGCTCACTCAGATCCAAAAGCGACCAACTCTGCTCCCTCGCATGGAATGCCCTCGAGCGCGCCGGCCGGGATCTCGTTCGACCGATTCGTCCGCGCGTGTGTCGTCGTGAAGCAGCTGAGCGAGGCTTTCGGACGGATCGACACTGATCGGGATGGTTGGATCCAGATCGGATACGATCAATTCATGGAGACTGTCTTGCAGCTGCCTTGAAGGGGCGAAGATGTATCGATAGCCCGAACAAAGATAGTAACTTCGTGTAGCAACTATGATCTCTCTGCTTTCTGTTCACATCTCGGTTTCGGTCGTTCGAATCAGATCTGCTGCGGCCATAGATCGGGGTATGATGGTATATTTGAAAGACGCGGGTCCGCTGGCTCAACACATCGGCGGCTTGTCCGCTTCATGAAATGGGCGCGATCGTCATAAGGGGATTGGATCTCCTGTCCGTGTCCGTCCACCGCTTTGGAGATGTCGAATGCAGTGAAGATGAGGGCTATGGTGCACCAGATTGAGAACATGGCCATGAATCTGCCAGGACGGATTCTGCGGCCGAAGCCCAACCCGAAGAGGTAGAGTGCTCCGGCCTTATCGGGAGGGGGGGTTCATGTCCAGAAAGCGCTCCGGGATGAATTCAAATGGACGGGGAAAGAGTTTCTAAATCCACAGGGTGGATTTGCATGGGAAGACAACAGATGCACATGTAACTCGTCATGGAGAATCGCCCTGGGCAGGAAAGAAACATCGGACATCATGACGGAGACGGAGTAGATAAGAGTAACTAACAAAATATCTGCCAAGACGATCGAGCCGGCAGGGATTCTCCACCCTCTCTACTTGTCCTCCGCGGCCGAGAGATGAGGGAGGTTTACGTGAACATGTTCTTCAACCGCGACACCTCTTTCATCAGTGCCGTGACATGCGGCAGCCGGGCCCGGTCGGCGAGCGTGGGCAGACGCTGATCGCCGCCGAGTAAAGCATCGATTGACCGTCAGTGTCCGAGTCTGCGAGGGAGAGCGTCGCCGCGGAGGCCTTGATGGTTTTTTCATTGGGATGTTTCTGTTCTACGGGACCAGATTGGAGCTGGGGGAGACGATCAGCACTGAACAGGAAGGGATATTGATGCGGTTCCGATGTCCGGGGTAAACACGATCAGTGGCAGAGCTTTTGTCGGCGAGAGCAAGACTCGCCAGTCGACGGAGCACGTCGACAATTCGCATGTCCACCACTTTCCAACCGATGACTTTCCATTCTCTGGCCTTCCGCTGGAAACCGGCGCCGATGACTCAATTGACGTAGAAGTCATTCTTAAGCCAGCTGAGGCCTTGGAGGATAGGGTGACCGAACGGCCATTCTGCCAGAGCTGCCGGCGCATACCGATCTGAGCTGTTGGATGATCGCCTTTCGAGAAGTTGTTCGATGGTTTCGACGGAGAGGAGCATATTGAGGTGGATGACATGCGATGCTAAGCGCAGCGCTAACAGATGAGCGAGGATTGCGGGAATTGGGCGGTTCGGAGCCGCACCGAGTTTGCGACTCGGCGCCTGCAGTCTTTCCCACTGGCGCTTGGCACCCAAGTCAAAGAGATTGCCTACATACAGCCGCGGGCGGGAAGCTGGGGACAGAGAGAGTCGCGGCCTTGTCCTGTATAGCCAGTCAGTTGTCAGAGAAGAGCAATAGTGCGCCGACGGTCCAGGTTAGCATATGTAGCGAAAGCTGATCCCATCCACGTATACCGACGGTTTTTCACCCGTCCCATAATTGGAAGGCGTTCCGCTGGCTGGCGGAATGTGTGCTAAGTCGGTTGGTACGACAGCGATCCAGCTGGTGGCCTGGAAACAAGCCCAGGAAGCTGCAAAGAGCCATAACGGGCCCGCTGATGTGACTGGCAAAAGCATCGAAAATGTTGAAAGGGACTAGGCATGGTCATGGACTGTCAGGGATAATCGCCTACCAGAAGTGCGGAGTTTGATCTCGGAGTCCGAAGAATGATCCGATCACGAAGCGGTCTTCGATTCATTCCCTTGCCGAATCCGTTAACCTCACTTGACGGAACCATGCCCAAGGAGTGCCCAAGGAGTCTGGGATGTGTCGCGCGGCTTTGCCATTGGCACCTATTCCCGTCGGCAGGATCACAAGCGAAAACCACCTGACTCGAAGTCCGATTCCGAGTGGCGAATTGCGACAGAGATTCGGAAGCCCGCCTTCCGATGAACTTCCCCCCGCTGCGTATGTCACTATCACCGACACTCAGGCCGCCGTCTGGAGGGCGGCCGCGCGTCCTGGTACTCCCGGATTCCTGCACCTCATTGCAGCTTCGAGTTACCATGGCTATCGTGAGGGGACGACGAGGGAGCATGTGACAGCGAGGAGACACCTGGTTCGCATGATTTCCTCGCTCGCTGCTCATCATCTGGCCGTCGAAGTCATGGCCAACGTTTCTGTGTAGACGCATGCGACACCCGATGGTTCAAGTAGCGCAGCCTGCGACAGCGATCATTGGCTCGACTCGGAACGGCACACGCGTGGTGGACAGTGCATCACATGGCGCAGGAAGAAAACAGAGCGGTGTCGATCCAGTAGGCACAACCATCGAGTGAAACATTCACCAGGATAACGGCTAGTCAGCTCGAAATGGGTTCCACACGAGCCGTGCGCGAGTCGCTATGCGCGCCACATGTTTCTCCTGGATCCATGTGCTGTCGAGCACCGGCATCAAATCCTTCCGGCGAACAAATGGTAGAGAACATTCGTGCAAGGGAGAGCCATAAAAGCAGGAGGAGCTGACGAGGGTTGTTCAGTAGCACTTGCTTCACATCGTTCATTCCTTCGCTCTTCGCCCTCGACACCGCCTCGTTCCCGATGTTCAACAAAAGCGCCCTCCTCCTCGCTGTCTCGCTGGCCCTCTCGGTCTGCGCCGTCCCGTCCCCGGCCCCGGAGGGAGTCGCGGTCCCCATCCGGGCCCGCAGCGCGCTGACGACTGCCGATGGCGTGTTCGACCACGACGGTGCCATCGCGGAGACCGTGAAGACGATCAACAAGCACCGCCAAAACTTGATCAACTTGAAGAAGAACAAGGGCGAAGCGTTCTTCAACCCGGTGCGTGCTTCTTTCGATCGAGTGCTGGATGTTCTGTGACTGAACGGATTTGCAGGGTGCCGAGATCAAAAACATCGCCACCGTCCCTGCCGCCGTGCAGGCCCGGATGGAGAGCCGCCACGAGAAGCGTCAGAGCTTGGGGCTCACCGACCAATCGGAAGAAGAGTGGACCGGTAGCGTGTCGATCGGCACGCCCGCGACGCGTTTCGTCATCGACTTTGACAGTGAGGATCCAAAGTGCCATCGGAAACACACGCTAATGAAGTGCAGCTGGGTCTTCCGACCTCTGGGTGCCCTCGTCTTCTTGCCGCTCCAGCTGCTCGGGGAAAACCAAGTACAACCCCAACCAGTCGTCGACCTCTACTCGCGAGTCCGGATCGTTCTCCATTCAGTACGCCGACGGATCGACTGTCTCTGGGCCCATCTACACGGACACGGGTAAGCCCATGTTTTCTATCCGCAGAGACAACACTCTCATCGCAGTGGCCCAGTCTCCGTTGCGGGTGTGTCTGTCACCCAGCAGTACCTCTCGGGTGTCACGACCCTGTCTTCGTCGTTCACCAGCGGCCCCGCTGACGGCCTGCTCGGTCTCGCATTCCCGGCCATCTCCAACCTCGGCCAGGACCCGTACTTCCAGACGGCCATCAACGAGGGTGCCGTCTCCGCCAACCAGTTCGGGTTCTACCTCGCGAGCTCCGGCTCGTCGCTGTACATCGGTGGAACCGACACCCGCAAGTACTCCGGCTCGATCGAGTTCAACGGGATCACGTCGTCGTCCGGGTTCTGGCAGGTCACCGGCGCGTCCGTCAACGTTGGCGGCAGCACCGTTGCCTCGAATCTCGAGACCATTGTCGACTCGGGAACGACGATCATGTACGGCCCGCCTGCGCTCGTGAGGGAGATCTTCGCCCAGGTTCCGGGCGCACAGTTGTACGATTCCGCCAACGGTGCGTGCTTGCTCTGTTAGCGCTATTGTCTCGAAATTTCTGACGCATCGTTCTAGGCTACTACTCGTACCCGTGCTCGAACCCGCCTCAGATCTCGTTCAACTACGGCGGCAACGACTGGACCATCTCCGCGGCGAACCTGAACCTCGGCCGCACCTCATCGGGTTCGCGCTCGTGTGTGTCTTCGCTGGCGGCGCAGGACCTCGGATTGGGATCCCGTGTGTTCCTGCTCGGTGATGCGTTCATGAAGAACCAGTACACTGTGTTCGACGTCGACCAGAACGCTGTCGGTTTCGCCACTCTTTAGATCCTTAGATGATCGCAGTAGCTCAAAAACAATCAATGCAAACCGCTCTTTCACTGCTTAAAATTGTGTGCATGAAAGGATCTTGTTTCTGAATCTTCCAGCAATCTTTGACAAACTATCTGCGCATAGTGGCACAAACAGTATCTGGAGTGTCGTCGAGCTCGAAGTTTGGCACTGACAACATCTCTGCGTCAAGTCAGACGGTGTCTATGCTACTTGGCCAACTCCATTGCGTCGATGACTATACATTTCTGTCCGCGTGCGAGCCACCGTTCCAGTGCCAGACTCTGAAACAAAAGGAATGCCAGCCCGGCGACGAACACGTCAGGTGTTGATAGCCGCACGCAGCGAACCAGCTTCGACCGGACTTGTATAGATGGAGACAAAAGTAAAAGACCGGAACATATCTAGATTGCATATTTGAAATGGACAACAGAAGGATTATAGATGTACATGGCCGATGATAGCAGAACTCCAGAAAACTCAAAGAAAACTCAAACATTCTTGTCCTCCTGCCGAAGACAAAACGGGAACAGTGCGATCAGTAGTGGCCGCCAGAGAGCTAGATGTCATGCCAGTCAGCCGATCGAAAACCAACACAGGAGTAGCTGGACGCACCGTGGCCTTGTCGAGCACGAGAGAGTGGCCCTTGCCGGCAGCGGTGATGTCGAGGCCGGAGAAGTCCCATGTGCCACTGCAGGCGCCGCAGTCAACGACCAGGCCGTATGCACTGCTGGTGCCAGAGACCGTGGTCGGGGAGCCGGAGAAGCTGACACCTGAGATCGGTCCGCCGGATCCAGGCTTGCCGTCGTTGGCAGGGTAGCTCTGGGTGATCAACACACCGTAAGAGCTGATGCCCGAGAGCTTGTTGCTGCAGTGCGATGAGTGAACTGCACGACGCGTGCGCACACAAAAACGAGACGGACCCATCGTAGACGACATTCGCGACCTTAGCACCAGTGGCGGCAGCTTGCACCTTAATGCGAATCCCGTACAAGCTGTTGGTGACGGTGTTCCGCAGGGCTTTGAAGTTGGTGACACTCTTGCCGGAAGCCATAGACCCGATGGAGATGCCGTGACCGTTGGCGCAGGTGTTATCCTCGAAGACGATGTTGTTTCCCTCGTTCAATGCGAGACAGTCGTCTTGGTTCTTGACCGTGCAGGACGAGATCGTGACGTCGTCGGCGCTCACGTCAAACCCGTCGGTGTTGTGTCCGCCCTTGGAATCACCGAGCGCTGTTTCGCCAATCAACCGCGGGAATCAGATACGTGACAAAGCGCAGGCACTCACAGTTGTCGACGGTCACCTCAGAGATGGTCGAGGCCCCGCCGGTGGTCCCGACAGAGATGGCCTGAGCCGGCGAGTTGAGGACGGTGAACTGCTTGAAGGTTCCGTAGCCTTTGACCCTGAGGCGCGAGGTCAATCGACGCGTCTATGGCAAACAGGCAAGTGCACACTCACTTGATGAAGGGGTGGGGTTTGAAGGAGCCGCCGTTGCTTCCCTTGCCATCCCAGTAAGAGGCGCCGTTGCCATCGATCTTGTGGTTGCCTCCGACGAAGTTGATCGCGGGAGTGTTGAAGGTGAAGAGAGGACCAGGAGCTGGAGCCAAGTCAGCATCGGCAGATTCTCCATGGTGCGCAATGCCGCGTACTTGTCGTCTTCGCAAAGACTACATCGCCAGCCATGGTAACTGTCGCGCCCTTCGCCGCCTGCCGCGCGCGTTAGATGAGGTGGAACAAGAGGAAACCTTGAGCGGCACGCACGGTGATCGTGATGGTGTTTCCAGCAGGCACAGTGAATCCCTGGATGACGACGTTGGAGCACCCGCTCAGGTTCGTCGAGCTAGCCACGCTGTTGACCGTGCAGGAGGCGCGTTTGTCGTTCTCCACGACGGCCAAGTTGCCGGGAAGCGCAAGCGCCACGCTGATGAGGGCGGACAGCTGCAGGAAAGCGGTGATAGAAGACATATCGAGGAGGAAGAACAGACGGCCGAGCAGAGGATGATGTTTTGCTCAGTCTGTGGAAGGCGTATTTTATATCGAATTGTGTTGCTGTCTCGCGGCCCGGAGACGATGGACCATTCTTCGACGCCTCGACCCGTGAGCGCATGTGTCATACTGTGGATAAGTCCGAGTCCGAGCGTTGTCGAGAGAGTAGATGTAGCGGGAACATCCCGTTACAGATGTCATGTGATTGTTTTCCTGACTGAGGTCCTCGATCGGCTGGCTTTGACCGCCGATCACCGTATATAAGTAGATACCTCCTGTGGGGGAACTTTTCCTTAGTCAATCTAGTCTTGATCCCTCTCAGCATCGTCTCCCCCCTCCTCCTTGTAGCGGAACTCGTCTCAGTCTAGACGCTTCCGTTACATATTTTTGAGAGCTCCACCTGCTAGATTCGTCGCTGCGCCGAACCCTCCCTCCCTCAAACTGGCGCTCGACGACTGACTACCCCTGAACCCAAACGATGTCTGGCGGCACGCACCACCGATTCCACCCAAAGTCCCGACGCGGGCACCCAGACCTCGAACCCGATGTGCCCACTGTGCTTGCTCCCTCCGACACTGTCTCCATGACTGGACGACCGACAGCATCGGACGCCGCCAGACCCCTGAGTGTCAGCTCAAGACAGAGTGGCACGTCACGATCCGAGCTAGAGGGGCATCCTTCCCTTCCAGCCTCGGCCCCTGAAATCTCGCATCTCCCTGGGATGTTTGCATCCCCAGCCGTGCCGACGCGAGTGGGTTTATCCCAGTTGGCACGAGACAGCCCGGCTCTGCCGGAGAAGCCGTCCTATGGACGAGAGAACTCCTTGATCGATTTGGATACTGCTGCTGAGAGCCAGTTCGAAGCTCATCAGCACAGTGGATCCACCGTTCCGGTGATTCGTTCATTGGTTAGTCAGGATCAATCTGTCAGCGACCGAGAAACCGTCGCTTCACAGACTTCCACAACCATGTCGCGCGCCATGCAAGGCATGAGCGTCACGGAATTGGTAAGCTTTGCGCGTCGCCACCAGGCTATTGCGCAGGAAGCTTTAGCTGCGGCTGCAGATCGTGATCTTAGTTCACAGCGCAGTGAACAGGATCCGTACGATGGTATCGATTTCGCTCGTTTAGATCATGGAATTACCAACTTTAATGAACAATTAGTGACTGGTGAGACGTTCCCTGCGATGTCTTCGTCCTTCCCTCCCATGTTCGAGTCAACCTACCTGTCCCCAGTCGGGGCCCGTCCTGCCTTCCCATCGGGTACTGGTCCATCATACCCTTCGAAGGACAAGGGTCCTGATCCTCGTAACTGGGGAGGTCTGTCGGACCGATTCTCTGAGCATGATCTTGACACTCAGCGTGCTGCGTTCGCGAATTTTGATGAGATCAGACGCATGAAGCACGAGGACAGTTACTTGCCGCCGTCTGTCTCGGTTCGGCATGACAGCCGCAGATCTCCGACCGCCATCCTGTCAGAGCGGAATATGATGATGCATAATGAGTACGTTTCTGGGCGCAAGAGCCAGAGCGTTGAGGAATGTCTTGTGGAGTTGCAGCGCCAGATTGACAGCCTGCATAGAGCAATGACGGAATCTCGGGCCTCGACACCGGTTAAGACACTGAACGCCGAGGACAGAGGAGCTGTGAGCTTGTCCCAGGCGCAGACTGCTGTGAAGAACAGCATCAAACGTCATATCAGCATTGATGTGCCGCCGACGCATGCCCAGACAGACGCACGTGAGAGGACTCCTGCAACTCGTACCGGGGCGGGAAGCTTCATCGAGCGTGCGTTGCGCAACGTCGATAGCTTTGGCGGACCCCCTCCATCCGAGCCGCCGTCCAGCAATCCCTTGGATGTCGGGACAGTGCCACGTCGTTCCAGGCAAGGAGAGACTGTGAACGTCTCAGTAAACGAACCGAAAATGATCTTGAAGCCAATTCCGCCGAAGGAGTATGACGGATCTCCTAATGCGGTAGCGTTCCACCGATTTGTGAAAGAGGGAACAGCTTACCTAAAGCTCGGCCGCATCCCCGCTGATGAACGAACGTTCTACTTGTCGTATTTCATGTCTGGCCGTGCACGAGAGTTCTATAACAGTCGCGTGGAAAATGATGAACATACCTGGACGTTATCAGACTTCTTCTGGGGTCTATTCAACTTCTGTTTCCCTGTGAATTTCCGTGAGAAACAGCGCTCGAAATTGAATGTGTGCAAGCAAGATGACAAATCTGTATTAGTCCATAAGGCCAAGTGGGAGCAGATATTTAATACTATTGGTCTGGAGGCAAACCAAGAGAAAGTGGTGATGTTTTGTCGTAGCTTGAAGACGTCAATTCGCAAGGAAATGTTCCGCGCGAATTTGGATCCGGAAATGTTGACTTGGGATGAGGTTACTCGCGGGGCTGAAGCTGCTGAGGTAATCGTGAATATTGACCTTGAGGATGCCGACAGTGATGTAGCTGGGGCGCCGAGACATCAGCCCAAGTGGAAAAAAGATATCTTGGCTACAGAGAACAAGAAGCGCCGCAACGGAGGGCGAGCTTTCTCGGTGTCAAGTGCTGCTGTCAAAACTCCGAAGAAGGACCAGAACGAGAAGGCGTGGGACTACGTGACGCGTGACGGCAAAAAGTTGCCTGCCAAGACTCGAGCTACGTACCTGAGCGAGGGACGTTGCTTCGAGTGTGGAGAACGCGGGCACTTGTCTCGAAACTGCCCTGATATGAGTGCAATGAAATCGGAGAAGCCCGGGAAACCACCGGGTATTGCTTCACACGCGATCGAAATTTCGCTTGCTGAGACCACTGAGACCGTGAAGGAATCCTTTGATGATGAATGAGGTCCGTCCGTCGTCGAGGAGGGCGGGTGGATACAAGAATGATGTGTGATTGACATTGATTGATTTTTGATTGACACTTTACTAATATTGACATTTACTTTCGTGGATGGATTCGACGCCATTCCGGACTTGCAATTGAATGTGGACTCGAAATAATGTTTCTGAGCGTATGAGCTCACCGCCAGCGTTGAGCTGGAGGGCGTATGTAGCGGGAACATCCCGTTACAGATGTCATGTGATTGTTTTCCTGACTGAGGTCCTCGATCGGCTGGCTTTGACCGCCGATCACCGTATATAAGTAGATACCTCCTGTGGGGGAACTTTTCCTTAGTCAATCTAGTCTTGATCCCTCTCAGCATCGTCTCCCCCCTCCTCCTTGTAGCGGAACTCGTCTCAGTCTAGACGCTTCCGTTACAGTAGATTTAGCAAAGAGCCGACTCTTGCACGTGACAAAGCCGGAGTCGTCAAATTGAGCGTGATCCCCGCCGTTGTTTTGGCGCTCCCATTATCGCGCAACAAACGATACAAAGATATTTCCGCGAAACCGCCGTATGTATTCTCCACCAGCGCATAACCATAAGCACAGTGCAAAAAAAAAACTCAATCGCTGTGCAGTTGCCCCGACGCTGAAATGTTTCCAGACCGGGTAAACGCGGTTGTTGCCCTTACGCTAAAATGGCTTCCTTTCATTAGAAGCTATGTATGCGCTAAATCATATGATAGAGGATTGCGAAAGCAGAATAGCCGCCTGTGCAGCAGATACATTCGTAGGAACTCCGGTCCTACTGCTTCGCGAGATCACTGCATTGAGTCAAACTTCCGAAACGCCCAGGGTCAACACAGATCACCTGTTCAGAACCACTCCAAATGAGGAATGTTAGTTATATCTGATCGGCCCACCATGTTATCAATGATAGGGAGCCATTTCCGCCTCCTTCCCAACTGCCGTGGTAACCCGCGGCACTACCTACGTGAGTTATCATATCTGGAGTCCAAATGCAACTCGGAGGAAGGTAAGCGGCGTCTTCTCATCCGTCACCATCCTCGGCCTTACACCCCATAACAAATGTCCACGAAACTAATATTGTAATTATTGGCAATTCATTTGTTAGTTTGGACGACTAAATTGGCATGATGATTATATATGTAATATGTATGTATATCTCTGTATAACAAATCATTATTTCCAAACTAAATGTTGCACCTGTAACACCCATATTCACTCTCTCAATAGAGATGGCATGCACTAACATCATAGTTAGAGAGCTTTATGAGCATTTCCTGTCAGAGGCAATAACATAACAATAAACATAAAAAATGGCAATATTTTTTTCAGTCTTGCAGTAACTCTCCAAGGACCTACAGCAGACACAAATCTTAGCCTATATCTTGTTCCTCAGTGAATAAGGGCCGGAGACACATTGTGCACAATCAATTCTGAGCTAATATCCCCTGGTTATGTTTGGATGGCATTTGCTGTGATCTCTGTGTCAATAGCTGTCATAGTTCAGCCACTTTTTCATCTTATCATCAACGATCTCATCTTAATCTTATCATGGATCACGGCATCCGATAGTCTGGGCTAGGGGTCCAGGGGATCATCTCTATTGATTTGAGGCTGCACGACATATGCTCTGGAAGGTTCTACCAGAACCTATGACCAGTGCTCCATGTGGTACATAGCCTTATTACTCATTAGTTGTAGGTATGATTCAGACTGGATTTGGGTATAAAGACTGTAGCTACTTGGTTGTATTCTCCAGTCTTTGAATTCACTTCTCTTTTCGACATTATTCCTTGTTGATTGTCACATAATTTGAAGACTCCCCTCATACCTTCCTACCTCATACCTCTTACCACTGCATCCCTCACTGCTGCACCCGCTATATCCTCTCAACCCTTATGAACCAACTCACTCTTTTACTTAATCATCTAGTTGTTCCCTGCAATTGCAGTGAAGGGTTCATCTTGAGCAAACAGCACCAGGCCATGGGTAATGTTGAGCCTGACCTAAGCCTTATGGTAGCTGCAAGGAGTGCTGCAGAGACCCTTGGGAAAACACACCTTGGGATCATTGGGCACGTGAAGAGCTAGGCCCGGGATCTTTTTGCTAGCAAAAGAACCTTTCCTCAAGTGCTTGTACAGCACATGAATCCACCATTTTGTACTGATTCCCATTGTCGTCTGGGAGTCCATCTCCTCCCCCCATTATACCATTGTTGCCCAATCTGGCCAGGTCCTCGTGAGCTTGCCTTCGAGAACCTGACATTTGGTTCTGAAGCAGTCACCAAATCGCACCTTGTGCATTGCACCGGTCCCCAACAAGCAAATAAAATTGTATAAAATCTCACTCACTCATTTTATCACTCTATCGACCACCCATAGTGACCATCCTTGCTTTCAAGGCAAATGCGCCAGCCGTTCCCGTGCAACACAATGTCCCGTCACTCATCTTCCCACCTCCATTTCCCGCTACCCTGGTGATTGAGCTCGCGACAGCAAAGATATACACCAATGGATGGACCTGGAGATGATAGTAGAAGGAAGTCCTCAGTCTGCTATGTTGAACGATACCCTATGGGCATGGGTAGGCAAGAGATTGGCGAGTGATAGGCTGACCACTCTGACCGCTGCCCTGGGAAATTAAGAAATCGACATGACAGCTGTGGGAATCTGGAGTTGAACCCCCAGCATGGAAGCGCAAATTATTGTACCAACTCAAATTTTGTTGTACAACCTCTCTTGGGATCCTAGTACCACATGCAACACTGGGATAAATAAACTATACACATCATGTATCTCTATGGTGAAATGCTGAGGGCGCGCTCACAGGTGAATCTACTATGAAAGTAAACCCAAATATAAACACGTTCACACTCCTCGTAATCAGCTTCTCAGTGTGTGAAAGATGCAAGGGCTTTGGGGTGAACAGAACACCAGTATCACAACTCTCGATAGACACAGATCCAATAGTTGCAGAAGACGAAGTCGACGACAAGAATTTATATATAGCAAACATTGGTGTCTTAACCAATATCTTCTATACAAACAAAACCAACACTAATCCAACCACAACCAACAATATAACAAGTCGGAGCTTAATATGAAGTATTAAGATCCCTTGTAGCAACAGCGTCCAGATGGCGACGCAAAGCCCAAATATCAAGTCGACGCACTGTCAACCGATACAACCAATGTACTGAGTCAACGCACTGCCAACTAGTAGAACCAAAATGTCAAGTCAACGCACTGCCAACTGACACAACCAAAGTACTGAGTCGACGCACTGCCAACTAGTAAACCAAAATGCCGCGTCGACACACTGCCAACTAACAGCCAATATCCAATGTCCAAAACCCAAGCACAACTTGTTGACGCACTGCCAAGCAAGAAGTGTGGAACCAAAGTTCTCAAGTCGACGCACTGCTAACTGACCAAAACAACCCAAGCACAACTAGTCGATGCACTGCCAAGCTAGAGGTGTGGAAATGATCTCAACAAAGCCCAAAGGCGACAACACTAAATGCCGCAACAAAACCAGATGTGGCGAATCCGACTTTCTGATGTCTCAAAACTCAAACTCAAATCACAGTAGCTACAAGTGCTCAGGGAGGAACTCGTCGTGACCAGGCAGGGGTAGCAGAACTTCTTCGGGTGGAATCACGCCGCACGCAAATTGTACAAAACAATCTGATATGAGAGTGATTCACAGTCCGGGGGAAAGCTTCCTAATACAAAGAAACGACGTGCTACTTATACTGTCTACGACAACGCTTGTAAAGTCCTGTACAACTGCATAGTAGCTACGCTATCTAAGATCGGTTGCCTTTTAGGGTAATTGAAAGTTGAACGATCGGACAGGTCCTGAGTGATCAGGACCCCGCCCCATTGTCCATATGATACTTTTGATGTGGGCCAACTCACCGCGTCATACTTTTGGAATACGACGTGCTGGATTGGCCAACGGGTATGTCTTGGCATGTGAGACCAACGTGGGCGCCCCAAGAAGCCGTATGGCCCTAGGCACGCCAGTTGTTCCTCACATGGTTTGGTTCACGGATCTAGCCGTGTCAATTTTAGTGTGTTTGGGTATGGGCGCAACTCGCTGTGACACTTGGAAGTGTCACCGCGATGCGTCCACAATGTCCCGTGATTGCATGGATCCTGACATGTGACAAGTTGTTGCCGTGGCATGATCTGAGGAAACGTCCAACCCAAAACCGGGAGTTGCCGCGACAAGATTGGTTCAATCTTGTAACGCCAAGTCCTGTCCAGTAGTAGTTGTAATATTGA